GAGTGGGGTTAGTTGTTTAATTTTTTTTTTTCTTTTTTTTTTTTTTTTTTTTTTTATTAATAGCTGTACATGGTTCCTAGTGGGTTTAGGATAAGTGTTATGTAAGGGTGAAATTCTAACTGGTTTGCAGCCTTTACATGGCCGTCTGAATTAACTATGGATTAACTTTGCTTCCACTGGAGCTAAAGTAGAAAATTAAATAACAACACAATTATGTGGCATATGAGGGTGAGACAGTTGGCATTTTATTCAGTATTCAGACTGTTTGTAGCGCACATGCGGGATGAATAAGCTGTTCCTGTAATAGCTCAAACTCACAATGTTACTCTTGTCTTTGGATTTAACTTACTGCAGTACTCAGAAGAGCCCAACATGAGACAGTGAAATACTGCAGCTGCATACAGCACTGCTGGTCATAAAAGTCTGTCACTACAGCACACGGAACACGCTTTGGTTTCTTGCCAAATTAAACAGTTGTTATGCTCTTAGGAAGTACCAGCCTCTAGATAAGATGATTGAATTTTTCTGGCCGGCATTAACTCTCCCACTATATGTGCAGGATTGCTGTTGATAAGCACCCAAAGGACAGTAGGAAAGGCCATTCATAAGAATTGTTGCAGAAAGCCTGATGACAGATTTTGTGATATGTTTCTGTGAACCAGTTGTAATGTGTTTTTCTCTGGAGCATGGTCTTCTAAAGCACTGCAGCCCCTGTGTAGGCAGTAACTCCTCGCTTATCCACAGCAGTTCTGCAGATTACCAAACACGGAGCAAGTGTTTATTGAAGGCACGACAATATTGATAGGGATGTGTGGCTAGGGTGGATAGGCAGACCTGAGCCTAAATGAGTTTTAAAACCCATCTGTCCTAAAATGTGAACTGTTTTTATTGTAGTCTATCTGTTGTGATCACAGGATACATCCAGGATAAAATGAATTCCAAATTCAGTGCTGAAATGGCAGAACTCTTTTGATGTGTCATCAACAGTGCCCAAATACACATGCATGCAGTAGATGTAGTGTATTATCCTGAAAGGAGAATAACCCTGAATTTAAGATTATTCTTTCTGACCTGTCTCCCTCCCACCCCAAAAGATGAATAGAAAAAGCTTACTGAATATTTGTAATTAGTGTAGAGTACAGATAAAGGCTTTTTGCTAATGATTTAGTTAGCAAGGGGAATATTTCTCTCGAGTGTATTCAAACAGCATCTACTACTAGTAATGGAGATCCCCATCAGAGACATAAATAGTGATCTTGTGGTCATCCCAGGAGCAAGTAAGTCCCAGCTGCAGGCGTTTGATGTAGGGTCCTTTAAAGACCATGTAGAGGCTCTTCTCAGATCAGCTCCAGTCGAGGGCTCATGCTGTAGCTCCTACAGGGAAACTGAAGCCCAATGCAAGAGGTTTCATCAGAGGGTTGGGTAAAAGCAGAAGTTGTAGCAAAAGAACTGCTGTTTTGCATGCTATGGTTGGTGAAACTGAGGATAGCTTGTTTTGAGTTTGAACAAGAAGTTGAAATTAGCAAAGACATTAAAAGCGAGGCAGTGGTTGAAGACAGCAAAGAGCAACAGTGATGGAATTATGACGGGGGATGTGAGGTGTAAAATCCAGAAGGCAATGGAAATAAAGGATAAGAGAAGAAACTAACTTTAGGCAATCATTAGTGAAAGTATGTATCTGTGCTGCATATTCACTACAGATAAGTAATAAAAAATTTCTTACATACAGTCGTTTTGGGAGGGAGGGGAGAACTGTTTAGTATTCAAGGTCATTTTGCTTTTGGGTTAAATCTGTGAGTTCAGCTTACCGTTATTGTTAGGACTAACACTAATATACATTATCCAGCAGGTCTAGAAGGCCAGGGGCTGAGACTTTAAATTACAGTGTTAAGAGAAGTGCAAAGTTCCTTGGGCTGTCCGTTCCCCGTCCCCACCAGCCCTGCAGTCTCAGTTAAAGCTGCCACCTCCTATTGCAGCGTGCCGTTGTTCCGCAGCCACAAGTAGGTCACGTAGCACAGATGGTCTTGCTGCCAGGGAAATGCGGAGTCTGCAGTCCCCTTTGAGGCTGCTCCCAGTTCGCTCTTGCTCCCTTTCGCACAGTTAGGTTGGAGACACTGGAATGAATTCTGATGCTACCAACCATTTTATCTTGTGTTCACTGAGGCTGAAAGCATAAAGCAAAGCTGGTACAAATACCAGGACTGAAAGTAATGACGGGGTGGTTAGAAAGGAGGCTGGACTGGTGCTTTATGAAATAGGGCATCGCTGCATTAGGGGGTTTCATGGGCTTGACATGTCTGCACCCAGACTGACAGAGGCCCTGATTCCTGGAGACCTGTCGTGCTTGAGCTCCAAGAGCAAAACCGGGGATGACATTGTCAGTACACACAGGGTATTGATTTGTTCTTATAGCATCCTAGCACCCTCTGTTCCTCGTGTATTTATCTATAGACTGTCCCTGGGAGGTACAGTTGTGCTGATCTGAGCTAACGTTATGTGTGCCATTTAAAATTTCTTCCTAAATATAATGGCTGAGGTCACACATTTGCTCTCCACCAGCACACTGCCGTCCCCTAGTTTATTTCCCCATCCACTCCCTCATCCTTCCTTTCTCGTTAGCATCTCTAGTAGCTGCCGAGCAATGGCAGCTCACCAGAACAGTCTGGGTAAATGCAGCATGACATCTGCCCCCCCGTTACCTGAGCACTTTTATTTATGGCGTCTCATTGCTTTTTATATTTTCATTAAACACCTTTAAATGTTTTTTTTAATGCTGTCACACGAAATTATAAGCAGCATGCTGTCTTAGTCTGCAGTTAGGAAATTCATACTGCCAGAAGCGAGGCAAGTCACAGACTGTGGTGACAGAGTAGCTAGAAAGATCAATTTCAGCTTATTGCTACCAGGAGACTCTAATGTTGTATATATTTACAATTCTTTTCTATAAAAACCTGAAAATACTTAAAAGAGTGGATTT